CTTCCCTGCGAGGCATGTGTTCCTTTGAGTAAGGAACAGCACAAATGTAGGTAGCATCTGAGGATTGCTATACAGGTAGGAGGAATTTACTTGTGCTGAGTTTATGGATCAATGGAGAAAGGGTGTAGGAGGAGAGAAGGGATGATGAGAACAAAGTATGCAATCTAAACCAGAATGTTTGTCAGGATTTCAAAGTCTGTATAAACCATATTATTAATATTTAAACAAGGCTTGGTTTTTTTTTTTTTCCTTTCCTTTTTTTCCTCCCTCCTGCCTTTCTGTTCCAGGATTGCAAAACTCATTTCCAAACAGGCTTATTTCTTTCCTGTTACTAATAGCAGCAGAAACGATTTATATGCACACTGGGAGAAGTAGTGTATCTGAAAAGAAAAACCATCGTCCTTTCCTCCACCTGTATCCAAACTTACTCTCCTTTCTTCCTTCTTCCCTCAGGGCTCAGACACACGATGGGCTTACTGTGGTTTCTGGAGCTACCATGGTAACTTGATAGTGTGTCCAGGCCCAAGAAGAGCCCAGCTTTGCATTGTTCAAAGCAAAAGGTCCCCCTTTGAAAGCTGGGAGAGGCAGAGATGTTGAATTAAGAATATTGCCTGCCTACAGGCAGTGAGTTTTGCTCTGAAATTCACCAGACTGCTCCAGCTAGAATTTGCATTGCAGGTTTTCACCTGGAATTCATTTTAGCGATTCCATCATGCAAACTCTGGCAAAACCAGTTTATAATGGGAACATTGTCTTCACTTTAGGGGGAGCAACGAGAGAGCAATATCAATGCCAGTGATTATTTAAGCTTGTTTGGATTGTTTTGGTTATTTTGGAAATCTGAAGGTCTTTCTGAAGGGCCACAATCCAGCATCAGGCTGAAAACGTGGTAGCAGGGCTGTGGGATAGTGCTGCTGGAGAGGGAGACACAGACCATGGCCAAATGAGCCCTGCAGTCAGTAACCTTGCCCCAGTGCTTTTCTCTGCAAGCAGTTCAGAAACCAGTGTAGAAGAGCTCAGCACTAGCACTGTGTTCACACTGTGGGGGAAGGGACAGACCTAAGCGAAAACTTTCAGAGGTGAAAGAAGTGGCTGTGGAAGGGCTTTGTCAGGTTGGAACAGAAGAAGTTTACAGCAAATGCTGATTTTGGTTGGGAAGATCTTCTGTCTGAGGTTGGCAAAGGTGTGTTAATGAGCATCGTTAGAATTGGGTAACAACACACTTCCATGTAGGGTTGCCTGACTTTCTTGCTGTGCTTTCAAGCTGAACATATGTTTTCAATTATTAACATGATTAATGGGAATGAGTTGACTTGAATCCCAATGAGGTCTATCTTGCCATCACGCGCAAACCCCTCGATATGGGTATGTTTACACAGTGTGGAAGTGCATGATTTCCTTCACCAGGAGGAGCCTTAGGAGATCTGGGTTTCTAATTCTTAACAAATTTAGATATCCGCAATTAGAGCCACTAGCTGTATTCAAGTCTCTGGACTCCTGCCCCTGTCTCTCCAGGAGTGTGGGAGGTGGAAAGTGCTGTGCAGTAGCCAATTCACACTGTGCTGCCCCAGCTTGGCCTGGGTTTTGGTCCTGAGTCTAAAAAAGGTCTGAGAAATATGATACCAACTTCTTCCCATCATCATCTGGAACAACCTCCAGAATGCATAAATCTCTGATTCAGTTGAGACACTCTTACTATTTTATGTGGGCTCTAAACATCCCTCTCCATTCTTGGTGGGCAAATTTCCCTAAGGTGTGCATCATTTTCACCCTTCCCTATGTTTTTGGAAGGGAATAAGGTTGAGGATCTAGAACAAGAAAAACAGATATTGGAAATTCTTTTAAGGTTTAATTCCTCTCCAGCTGCCAGAGCCAGAGTTCATCATTGTACTTGGACCCTTCTTTTACCCCATCAGCTAAGTCCTGGTCTAATTCCTTCTAACATAAGTGTATGTCACTCACCCAAAATCTGGAAATCATATATCTGCAAGTGAGTCAGTCAGTCCATTAACAAACAGGAATATGCTGAGTTGAAGCAAAATTTATGAGTGTATTTGCCAAAGATCCAGTGTAGAAATGGACAGAGGTGCATCCTCCTTCAGATCAACAGAAACAAAGTAGTGCCATGAGCACTGGAACTAATGGAACTGGACTTCCCTTTGGCTCGGGTCTGGTGCTTGAATGAAAGCTCCCATTTCATTTTCTTAGGGTTGCTAGACTTTCAAATTTGCTGTCTCTTGCAGATTCTGTGGGTTAAAGTGAGGTTAAGTTCACACTACAGCCTTTACCTCAGTCACAATACAGATTGAGGCTGTCTCCTGTGTCTGGATGCATATTTTGTTGATTCTGTGAGAAAGTAGCTATTTCCAGGTAAGCTTGGAACTGCTAAAATGGTTTAAGGTTGCAAGGAGATGAAGTGGGCAGAAGGAGAATGATCTCTTAAATCATGTTTTTCTTTGGGAAATGTGACTAAAATTGCTATTCAGTGCAAGCGTAGATGGTTTTTACAGAACCAGCAGTGTGTGCACATGTGTGTATGCAGGTAGACATACAGTATGAGTTAGCATCAACAAGCTGTGTGACTAAATCCTTTTTAGTTTTGAAATGCTCTCTATATATGTATTTATGTGTATATACACACATGCATAAACTATATCTTCCTGTCTCCACACATATATACGTGTGCACTTTTCTGTCTAAGTATTTTACTTATATTTAGAAAGGGTATACAGCATTGCCAAATAGGCTGATATATGATTATTTGTCTTACTGCCCTTTAGATATAAACTTATTCTTTTCAGATTTGCCAAATCAAACAAACACGTTGCATATTAGGGCTCCTGAATTCAGCTACAGAAAAGAGTGCTCTTGTATGTGAGTGTTCATGTACAGTAGGTGATGTGCAGCCACACAAAGGTTGCACTCACTTAGGTGAGAGACACCTACATATTACAAAAGCAGTAAGGGCACCCCAAATAAGCACCTGTTGCCACTACAGCCTGAGCGTCTGCATTCTAGCAGGTGGTCCTAAGTCACCTGCTCACGCTCCAACTTTCTGCAAGGAATTTTACTGTTAGCGAACATGAGAATTCACGTCACAGAAATAATCTGAAAATGGTTATGGGTGCTACTTCCATGTGTGACTGTAGCTGGGATCTGTACGAATAAAAACTTGTCTGTAGCAAACTATGAGTTCCCAGACTATAAAACACTTATAATTGGATCTGCACTCAACTGCTGTCTTGTTTGGGTGAGTTGCCATGACAGAGAGTAGAGCATTACTAGTTAACTAATGGCATGATAGTAGTAGTTATGGACTCAACATCATCACTGCTATGGGTGTACAGTCACACAGAAGTTGCTGTCAAACAGTAACAATTTTTGGTAATTGCCAAGCACAGCAAGAGACAGCAATGCTCCATATTCCATTATCCATTCTCCCAGACATCCACTTCTGCTGAGGAAGGGATTTTAGAAACCGAACCTATATTTAAGGTCAATTGAAGTCTGAAAAGACTCCAATTTCTTTTTAAGTTGCCATTATTCAGCGTAATGCACTGCTGTGAGCATCTGGAAAAGGCAAGGCAGGAGAGGGAGCTGCTCATGTGCTGGGAGCATGAGCAGGCACCTGAAAGTGAATAGCTGATTTTTGGTTGCGACAAAGCGGGCCCAAACTGGGGACCTTAAATGAAAGCAAACTGGAGTTCATAGGAGAGTGTGTGCCAGACTGCAAGCCACTTTCTACAGAACACTTTATCAGCGTCAGCTGGGATAAAGAGTTTACTTCTGGCAGATCATGGGATTTCAAACAGGAAAGAGAAACTCTTTAGCAAAGGGTGTTGAGGTGTCTCAGACTGTAGGACATGCTTTTGTGGCTGGCAAGGTAGGCCCCAAGAGACATCTTCCCCGTCCTGCATCCTTGGTTGCCTCCCTTTAGGAGAAAGCTGTATGTGTGCTACAGCCAGACCTGATGAAGAGGACTGACTCCCTCATGCTTTTCTTGTTTTTCTATATGTAATGTGAAGAACATAACATGTAACAGCCTGAATTTTAATAACAAATGTTCATCATCTGGGAGATGGGCACAGGCAAATGTGAGGCGAAGGGCCTTGCCAGAACCTCAGTTCTTGAAATAACTAAAGAGGATGGAGGAAGATGGATTTCCAGAGACATATCTGGGAACTCATCAACCAGGCCAGGACACAGTACGAGTGGTGTGGGGAGTGCTGAGACCCCAAACCACCCTGCTTAGAACCTGCCCTGAGATGCAGGCGGTGACCTATGGTGGTGAGGAAAGAGTCGAGCTTACTATATCCAAGCCGTCCTTCTCCAACACTTTCAGTGGGATGGCAGTCCCTGCTGAGTGGCTGAGGGAGAGCTGTGGGAGTACAGCAACTGCTGTGCCTTCCCCACGCTTCAGTCACAGCCCTAACTCACTTCCAGAGTGATTTAAGATAAACTGAATCAGAGGCTCTCAATTTCTGAATGAGAGTGTCTAATCCACTGCTGATTATGTGCCAGTACCTAATCCACTTCCAAAGATTAATCAATTTAATTCTTCTGGATGTCCCCATATCAACAAGCCCTGAACACGGCTAAGATGAAACCTATCTTCCATGCCCAAGGTGGTTGGAGAGATAACCAAGTTTAAAGACATCTGGAGCACCTGATGACTGGAGGCAGACAGAAGGCATGGCAGTAACCTACTTCTTGAAAACCCTGTGAAGACTTTCCTATGAAAACCCCCTTGTCCATGTCAGCTGAGGCATTTGGTGGCTTCAGCAGGGGAGTGAGAGCCAGAAGCCTGCGGGTGCTGGTGTTGGCTTGCGCTCAGCTCCATCACTTCACACGCCTGGAGCACATTCCTCCAGCTGAAGGCAGCACCATGAACAAACCAACATTTTTCTGCACACATTGATTCCAGCTGTAGTAAATTTTAAACAAAAATCAGATATGGTTTAATGAGGAAAGTTTACTTTTTTTTTTGCTTTGTTTTCCAGGTTTCAAGTTGTAAACAGTGCTCAACCCTCTGTATTAGAGTGTTTTACCACTATGACATGGCAGACCATCAGCATAGTGTAGCACTTGGATGAATACCAGGAGAGACATAATGACCTGGAAGCATAAAGAGACCCGAAACTCAGTTCTGAAAGTACTGTGCAAATTTACCTAAAATGTAAATGTATATCAGTACTATTGTAAAACTGACAATCTTGTATTGTGTGGGTTGTTTGGTTTTTTCTTTTTTTTTCTTTTTTTTTTTTTTAGATAGAATGACACTGAGAATACAGTGTTTGTTACAGCTGTGCTTTTGTTAATGAGGTTCAAACCCAGCCAATTCAGACAGAAGAATCTTCACTGCAGACTGTTAGAAGGGTGGTAAAAACAATGGTAGTTTTGCTGCTGGAAACTGTACATCTAGAACGTCACAGCAGGGGACCTGTCTAATATTTCAAGTATTTTTATGTTAAATGTTTGGGAGTGCCGTTTGAATGCCATCCCCTGAAAAGTCAGTAACTGCTCATCACAGGACAGAACAGGAAAGCATTTGACAACCATCTTTGCAGCAAGAATCTGTTGCAAGCCTGTACAAGTGATGTAAGAATGGTTGCATATATGAAAAGGTGCACTTCTTCAAGGAGCAATATTCCTGATTTTGTTTTGTTTAGAGAAATCCTGGTATTATTATTATTATTATTATTACTCTTGCAACATCATTTGAGATGGAAGCAACTATTTCAAATAAAAACAAATATTTCAGGGAAATTAATTTTGGGTGGGCTGTTATTTGTTTCACAAAACCTCTGATTTATTCTAGTCCACCTTTATCTAAACCTGGAGCTGTTTTTCATTTTCTCCCTCCCCAAATTGCACACCACACTGAAAATCCAAGTATCACAAGCCCTAGATCCAACTTTCTTTCAGCTCTGTGTTACTCCTGCACAGTCCTCCTGGACTGGAAAGATGTCTCCATGACACAGATCAGGAATGCCCTGCTTTCCTCTCATGGCAAACCCCACAAACAGAAGGACTCATCTGTGGTGAGTGGGTTATAAAGGACACTCTCTGCTGGGGTCTGGATTTTTTGGAAAGAGATGGTGATTTTCACACAGAAGATCAAGGTTTGTTCTCTGTGCCAGATGTTGACCAAGAGGCTGTTGTCATCTGCTGATATGAAAGCTCAGTTTTTGAGATACACATCATCTGGTCCAGACCCTCAATATGTTGTAGCTTGTGACTTTTATGTGAGTAGGATGAACAGGTCAGAAATCACCTAAAGGGGATCAGCGGGGGGTAAACATTGCTCTCTATAGAGTGATGGAACACAAGACCAGATAACAAGTGACAGCAGATGGATTTTGCACTTTCTTTTGCTCTCTGCTATACAGAGTAAACTTCTGCAACTCGCTCATAGAATACAACATTGTCTTCTGCAAATCTCATGTAGTTTGTGAAGTACTGTATAACTGTTTTGAATAAATATTTATTAGATACTGATAACATGATTCAGCATTTCCTAACTGAATCTTCTGAAGAATATAACAATGCTACTTGTGCCCAGAACACAAGTGTCTTATCATTTGTAATCCTTCTATTCATTTCTCCATTTCTTCCTTATGGGTATTCTTCTGGCACTTAATGATATGTCTAAAATAAGATTTAAATTAATTTTCCCCTATATGCTTGTATGACAGCATGATTCCTGTCTAGCTTTAGTATTAATAACAATCACATAATATTTTCTTATCATCAGAGCAGGGATGACATGATTCTATGGCTTTATCCTTTCAGCTGAAAGGATTCTGTAGGAAACCACTGTTATGGCAGGGGCGAGGTTGAGTCCATTATAACTGTGAGTCATCACTATTACCCTTCACAGTGTATACCAAGAGGCTCAGAGGTCCTGCTAGCTCAGGGCAGAGCTCAGCTGCCTGGATGGATTCGTGGGGATGCCTTGTGGTTTGTGCTGCTCTGGTCACAGCTGGAGACCCGAAGCTGACCTGGAGGGACGGCTGGTTACTTGCTCCAGTGCAGCAATGTTTCTGGTTGCACTAGGCCAGGCAGTGGCTCTTAAATGCTTGTCTGAAGTGCCCGAATGGGAACAGCCTATTGACAGCAAGTAGCTTCCAGTCCAAAACACTGAATTGCAATTTGATATGCATTGATTACCAGCTTGAACCAGCTGGTGATCATCCGCTTGTCCAGAGCCCTGAATTATTTACCTGTTATCCATTGCACAGCATTTTATTGCTGCAGTTTACTCTTTTGGGCCTTGTATCCATTCTCAAAAGAATAGTACAGACCCACAGAAAAATTCTGCATGTCAGTAACCAGCGACTGGAAATCCCTTGTTTCACTGCAGTTGTTCACTTTTGAACAACATGAGAAGAAAGGACAATTTCTGAGATAGATGTTGTTCCATCAACACACTTTTTCATGCCTTCTGCACTCATCCAGACTTTTTATTTTCCCCCAGACCTCTCTCACAAGAAACAAGGGATGCACCATAGACAAGTCTGGCAGGTCGTCAAGATGCAAAGGTTGGACTGTACATTAAGAAAAAAAATTCAAATATAGTTAGCACTTTAGTCATTGTTCCCAGAACACCATCCTTCTGGTTTATGGGCCTAAATTTAGTCTGACTGGTAATTTATATACTATTTGACCTACCACAGCCACAGATTATTGTTTTTATCACCTTGGAATAACTGGTGAAAAGTAACAATCACTGTACTATGAGCTTGCAATGGAAGGGAAGTGTATTTTCCTGTGCTGAAGGCAACGTACCATATCCATGGGAGTTCCCCACACATGTAATTTCCGTGTATCCTTTTGGTTATGCTGCAGATTTTGTTATCGTTATTTATTTATTGAGCATTGCCAATGAGCTCAGTTTTGTACACTGAGTAAGAAAAGCATGCAGAGCCTGACTCTCAGCCAAGTTAAACTGGCATGTTGTGCTCTGGTGAGTCTGGCTCTCACTCCATTATCCTCAGGGCTTACCATCAAAGGCTCTCACACAGGTGCATTAGGTACTGAGCCTGTTACATTTGCTAACTGTACATTCAAACGCCGTTGGGGAACTGTCCTTGCTGAGAAATCGGGACTTAAATCAGCTGCAGTGGGAATTCCGCTGCCTCATTCCTAAACCACAGTGGTCTACTTTTCCTCTCAATGTGTTTCTCTTATTTCTTTTATACCCTTTCCTGCATGCTGAAAAAGTACTGCATCTTATAAGAGGAAAATGCCACAAGGCTTCTCTTATTCCCTTGAACATAAAAGAAAATTCTCCTGGATGTGAATAGCACACAATCATGGCTGTTGGTGATGTGAGGTGTTGCACAGACAAAAAGTTGACCTCCATTACCTTCCTCCCTGTTTGGACTTCTAGATTGGGTCCCATTTGTCTGGGGAAGGTAATTTCCTTGTGAAGGTTATTTCCTTGTGAGTTCTGCAGGGAACAGGTGAAAGACTGTATTCCTGAGCGTTTGACAAACTCTGTGCAGAGATGTGCTGGGGGATCATGAATTGTGAGGAAAGGAATAGGGACAATTCTCTCCACTGCCATTGCTGGACAGGACCATGTCTCCTGGAAAAGCCTTGGGAACAGTCCTCTTTGAACGCCCGTGGGGTTTCTGCATTACTCAGAGCATTCTGGAGCAACACAGGATGGAGTAAAGTACAGGTGGCTAAAGGCTATCATGCCCTGCTCGTGGAGATTGTGAGCTCCCTGCTGTACCTGTTACAGCTAAATTTTTATGCAAACACGTCCTTACAACTCACTTTAGCCTTGTATATTTGTCACAACACAGAGTGGAGCCACAGATAAGCTCCCATGTATTTATTAAGATCCTGGACAGACTTTGGAGTCCATACTAAACCCTGCATAGCTATACTCCTACTGCTTTTCATCCTGAGCTAATGTAAAACTAGGTGTTCTATCAGCTGCGATCGTACTCTGGCTTGTAGTGTACCCATAGCTGGAGGGGTGGAGTGCAGAAACTTACTCCAGCTCAAGGAACATGAGTCAAAACCGGGAACTTATGGGAAATGTAAAAAATGTGAGGGCTTCTGTAAGGGACAATAGCCAAAAGCAATAAACATGTAAGTAAATAAATCTATAAATGATTGAGGAAACATGTCCCCAAGTGTAGTAAGAAAAGTAAGTAGAATATAAGATAGAACTAGAAAAATGACTGGAAGAGAAGGAAAGGAGAAGCAATGAAAACCACAGTATTTTATCAGGAGCTCATTTTTCTTAGGGGAATAAAGAAAATAGGAAAATTAGGATCTATGAAAGGAAGGAGAAAGGGAAGATGCTGAGGGATGCAAAGACTGTCAAAAATAGCATTGAGGTTATGGGATAGGAAAACATAGGCTGTGAAAGGAAGTAAAAAACAAGCAGAACCAGACTTCACTATCCTTAAACACAACATCCTGCTGTTCAGTGTCAGTAAGACAGTGAACCCAGAGGGTTGCTCTGCAGAGCAAAGGGCCTGTCTGTGAGACAGAAGGGCTAAGAATCTTGCAGCAGGGTGAGGTAGATGGAGAATTAGATGGCTGAGAATGTGCAAGATAAAAAAAGAAAAAATCAATGTGACTGTGGAATGGCTGATGCCAGAATGTTGTGGCAACAAATTTAAGTTTTTGCTTTCTACAGTGCATGACTGCCGAGAGGTAGGAGAACTGGGTAGGTTTGGTGGTGGCTGAATCATGTGCACACAAGTCCCTGAATTTTGGGTGCAAGTGTGAATCTACTGCTTCAGAAGTTTTCTTGAGCTTTTCTATGGTGGCCAGGAGTCACCTAAGTGTATCCAGGCAGGGACTTTTCTTGGTGCATGCTGATGTATCAGAAGGCCAACAGTTTCTTAAGAGCAAATTAGAGTTCCACCAGGAGCCACTCTTTATTCTGACTTTAAATCTTTCTTGAAAAAGGTCTTCTGAAAATACAGGCAATTGCACTTTTTTATACTTTCCAAGAAAATAATTACTTGCATAAAAGCTTCCATGTTTTTCTTGACTACCTTTTCACATATATTTGGTTGTCTGTTGGAGGAGAGGGAGAATATTTTCTGACTAAAATGAAAACACTGCATGGTGATTCAAGAAAGTCAATGACATGCGTCTCAGTCCTGAGGTTGCCATTTAGCTAATTGCATTGTTGGGGGTTTTGGTCTGTGAACAAACAAGATCCACAGTGAACCAGGGCAAATTGGCCTTCATGGTTCTCCGTCCTCCTGCAGCTAAACTGTGTCTTATAATTTGAAGCTGTCTCACACATGCTGATACTGCACCACAGTCTGCAGTACACAACAGAGCAGAGACCAAGACAAACATTGTCCATACTACTGCTCACCACTAAGACAGGGATTGGTGAGGTGATGGTGGTATCTTCATTTCCTTGCTGCACAGTCACTTCTTTAAACTTCAGCAGGTAAACTGGAACACTGCTGTGGGTTCCTCATTTTCTGAGCCCTAGCAAGCAGGGATGCAGGACTCAGAGCGGCTCACACAGCACCTCCACAGCAGTCTACAGGTAGGCTGGAAGGGCTGCAGCAACCCACAGCTCAGGCTTTGCCTTTAGCAGGGTTGATCCTGGGATAGAGATGGAATTCTGAGGGTCACCACGAACAGCTGAAGCCTGAATAAACCTTCTCTGCCTTCAGCTACAGTGAGGACAAAGATTCAAGGTGACCTAGAAAATATTACAGGTAGAGTTCCACATCAGAACAACTTCCAGGAGTGACTGGAAAGGGGTATGTGTG